AGTCCTTGCTATTCACTTTCTGAGGTTATTAGTCCTTATCTGACCTGATGCTTGTGTCTTTTTTGGGGGGGGGGACCAGGGATCAAACTGGGGACCTTGTGCTTGCTTGTGAGGCAGGCGGCGGCACCACTGACCTAAATCCCCAGCCCCTTATGTCTTTTGAAATTACTTTTTGTTTTATTTTTTATTTTTTGGCTATTTTTTCTTTTTTTAAAATATTAAGTCTATTGGTACATTTTAGGTATACAGTAGTACAGTTACATTCATCATTGGAAATTGGCACCTTTACATAATCTCTCTTTTGTTTTTTTGATTTTTTTTTTTTTTTTTGGTACTGGGGATCAAACTCGGGTCCTTGCACTTGCAAGGCAGGCGGCGGAATCACTGAGCTAAATCCCAGGCCCTACATAATTGCTCTTGATTCTTATTTTTTCCCCATTCGCCTGCCCTCCCTATTAACAAAGACTTTGTTTCCATTTTTTCATTTTCTCATATTCATTCCACTCCCTTCTTTCCTTTCCCCTACCCCTCCCACTTCCCCTTCCCCTTTGCCCCTTTTCTTCCTATTTCACATTATCTATTATACCTTTTAGTCCTTATTTACACTTTCAGTTTCTCACACTAGAGAAACTATTTGGTATTTACACATGTGTCCTATTTATTTCACACAAGAGTATCACCTCAATGTGCATCCATTTAGCTATAAATGTCTCTAATTTCTCTTATGACTGAGTAGTACTCCATTTTATTAAAAAAACCCCACATTTTCTTTATCCAGTCTCCAGTTGATGGGCATTTGGGCTGTTTCCAAGTTTTAGCTATCACAAACTGTGCTGCTATGAACATGGGTGCACATATATCACTGTGGTATGATTCTTTCAAATCTTTGGGGAAGATCCCCAGCGTGGAATAGCAGGGTCAAATGGGACTTCCAGTCCTAGTTCTTTGAGGTATCTCCATACTGATTTCCACACTGGTTGCACCAGTCTACACTCCCACCAGCGGTGGAGCAGGGTTCCTTTTTCCCCACAGCCCTGCCAGCATTTGTTATTGGTTGATTTCATGATAGCAGCCATTCTTTCTGGGGTGAGATGGAATCTCAGCATTGTTTCCATTTGCATCTCTTGAATGATCAGTGATGTGGAACATTTTTTCATGTTTATTTGCTATTTCTACTTCTTTGTCTGAGAAATGTCTTTTCATTTCAGATGCCCATTTTCAGATTGGATCTTTAAATTTGGGAGGTCTGATTTTTTTAAGTTTTTTATAGATTCTCGATAGACCTTTTACTTACTGAGGAACAGCAGGTGAAAAATTTTTCCCACATTGTGGGTTGTCTCTTCACACTGTTGGTGGTTTCTCTTGCTGTTCAGAAGCTTTTTAATAAGAGATCCCAGTTGATTGTTTGTGCTAGTTCAGGGGCAACTGAGGTTTTGTTCATGAACTCTTTTCCTATGCTAATGTCTTCAAGAGTTCTACCTAACCTCTGTTCCAGCTGGTTCAGCATTTTGGTTTTAATATTTAGATCTTTAATCCATTTCAATTTTAGTTTAGTGCATGGTGAGTGATATAGGTCTAGTTTTAATCTGTGGCAAGTTGAAATCCAATTTTTCCAGCACTATTTATTAAAGAGGCTATCTTTCCTCCAGTGAGGGTGTTTGGCTCCTTTGTCAAAGATGAGGTGGGTGAGTGTGTCTGGAGTTGTTTCTGCCTCTTCTAATCTGTTCCACTGGTCCTCAGGTCTGTTTCTTTGCCAGTACCATGCTGTTTTTATACTTTTTGTTTTAGTCACTTTTCTTGTCACTGAGACACAATACCAAACACTCACAATTTAGAGGAGAGGTTTATTTTGGCTCACGGTTTCGGAGGTCTCAGTCCAGGCATGGTGGGCTGGCTACAAGGGATAAATGGCTACTGATATCATGGCGACCAGGAAAGAGAAAGGGATGGAATCAGGGCGAGAGATAATCTTTTAGGTTACACACTCAGTCCTTGCCTCTTCCAAATAGGCCCCTCCTCCAGACAGTCTACTCGGTTGCTAAATTCACCACTGAATGAATTTACCAATGATTATAGTTCTCCCATGATCCAGTCATCTTCCAAAAGCCCCACCTCTGAGCACATAAGATTTTCTAGAGACATTCTACATCCAGATTACAACACCTCTCTTTAAAACATTCTCTCCTCATGATTTCCTTTACTTCATGTTTTCCTAGTTTTCTAAATGTGATCTCTGGTCTCTTTCATCTACTGTTCTGCTTCCTTTCTGCCTGTATTTTAAATCTGTCTTCATCCAAGGTGTGGTCTTAGTCGTTTCTTCTCACTAAACATTCACCTTGAGTATTCCTAGCCACTATTACCCACTACCACTCATTGTGGTAGATGCTATAAGGTTGCCTGCCTGATGTCCATTCTTCTTAAACTCCCGTTTAAGAGGTAGGGCTTTCAGGTGATTGGGCTGTGATTACTCTAAATTCATCAGTGGATTAACTCATTGATGAGATCATAATTTGATGTATTGAGAGATAATGGAAATTTAGAAGGTGGGGCCTAGTTGAAGAGAGTGGGTTATGGAGGTGTGATCTTGGGGACCGTATCTTATCCTTGGCCCCTTCCTTTCTGGCTCTTTTCCTCTCTGCTTCCCAGCTGCTATGAGGTGGGCAGCTTTGATCCACCACATCCCTCTGTCATGTTTCTGCCTTGCCACAGGCCCAAAAGCAGTGGAGTCAGTTCACCATGGACTGAAACCTCTGAAACTGTGAGCCAGTGTAAACCTTTGTGTCAGGCATTTTGTCATAGTGATGGAAAGCTAATAAATGAGTGAAAATGTGTCTTACTTTTCTTGTTGCTGAGACAAAAATACCTTACACCCAAAGTTGAAAGAGGAAAGCTCACAGTTTGTAGAGGTTTCAGTTCATAGTTGACTGGCAGGGTGGCACGGCAGAGGGATACTGAAGAGAAACAGTTCATGGCGGGCAGAAGGCAGCAAAATAATGAAGTAGTGAAGAAGCAAGCAACAAGTGGCAACAACAGCAGCACTCTTTCTGTCCCTTATATTCTAGAGTGGGTAGTACTCACACCCAGGATGTGACACCCTTAATCCTACCATTGCACTATGAATCAATCCTAGCATCACATCCTTAATCCCAGCATCACACACTCTAGATCCAGCCACCTCTGAAAAGCTTCACATATGAGCATATGATGCTTTAGGGGGACATATGCTAAGGATTTTTAGGAAAATTTGTGTTTTCCAAACAAAAAAACCAATCTTTTCATTTTTCTTTTTTTTTCCTGGATTATAAATTGAGGGTCAAGGGTGGAGCCTAAGATAGAAGCCTCATAAAAAGGAGAGTGGAATAGAAAGATAAAACACAGCAAACATTGCTGAGTGTAGGCCTAATCCTCACACTGCCAACTTCTGGGCTTTTCTCATGTGGGTGAAAAAAGCATCTCTGCGTAGTCAAGCCACTTTCACACGCACCTCTCTCATCCAGACACTGCAATTGCAGTCTCACTTTCTCTGCAGCTCTTGTATTGCCTCATTTCTTTCTTCAGGATGCTGCAAGAGTGATTTTTCTAATACAAATAGACCGTGCCACTCCTTGCCAAAGATTCTTCAATATCTCCTTGTGCCTATTTCATCTTCTATCCTTCCTCTCCCACACAAACTGACTTTAAGGTAAACTGATGCTTTCTTGTCTCAAACAACAAAACAAAACACAAAACACTAATAAGCATTTCAGTATTATGGGAAAAGCAATTTGAGGCATGAAGCATTTGCCCCTTAAAATAAATATCTACTTAGTCGTTTTACCTGTACAGATGTGCAAAGCAAGACTGCACAAACTGCATAAAACAGATGTTAAAGAGGTACAATTTTCATTGAAGAATAAAAATATCTTAAAGAGGGTTTGTCAAAAAGCCCTTAGATGTTGTGAGGAAGGCTGTCTGTGAAGGCAGAGGGTAATCTCTCTGCCTCCACCCAATTTTGCTTTGAACCAAACTTCTTTAAGAAAATGAAATCTTTGCAGCTACTATATGACCAGCAGCAGTCCTACTCCTGGATATATAGCTAAAGGACAGGAAATCAGTATGTCAGAGACATTTGCATTCCCATACTTATTGTAGCACAATTCATAACAGCCAAGACATGCAATGAACCTACATGTCCGTTAACTGAATGGATAAGGAGAATGTGGTACATACAGTATTATTCAGCCATTTAAAAAACAAATGAAATCCTGTCATTTATTACAATATGGATGTATCTGGCAATCATTGTTAAATGAAATAAGCCAGGCACAGAAAGACAAGTACTGCCTGATCACTCTTGTACAGAATCTAAAATAGTTGATCTTATGGCAGTTTAAAGTAGAAAGGTGGTTATCAGGGAGAAGGGATGGACAGATGGTAATCAATGGGTACTAAGTTATAATTAGACAGTATACTATTACACAGTAGGATGACAATAAATGATGTCATATGTAAGATTTTAAATTTCACCATAAAGAAATGTTCTTGATAGGTTTACCCTGATTTGAATGATGCACAATGTATATACATACTGAAACATCACACAGTACTCTCACATGTGTACAATTTAGATGTATCAGCATTTATGTGCAAAGCTGTGTATATACACACATATATTCTAGCTCTATGTAGAAGTCCTGGGAACAAAGATACCCGGTAGTAATGAGTGTATGAACACTGAAAGATTTTTTTTTTAACTTTTTACATACTGTATCATTTAATATAATCATTGGTACAGTTGGATTTAGATGTGACATTTTGTTTTTTGTTTCACCTGTTCTTTGCTTCTGCTTTTCTTTTGCGCTTGGAAGGCAGGCATGGTGCCACTGAGCTAATCCCTGGCCCTGATTCTTAATTGAACTTTTAAATTTTATTTAATATATAAAATTGTACATAATATGGTAGTAATGTTTGATATAAATGTTGGACTGATCTTGCTTTTTAAACATCATTTTCCATCAAAGGAATCAGGACTCTTTGGACAAAATGGCTTGTCCAAGGACCAAAGCAGAAAATGCCTAAGATGGGGCTGAAAGTATGCGGCTGTTCAAATAATGGCTGACCCTCACAAGCTCATCAAATATACAACTTGACCAAATACATGATATCGGCAAATAAATGGGAGAAAACTCTTCCTAATAGCAAAATGTCAATACAATATAAAAGAAATGAAAGAAATAAGTCATCTGAAAACCATCAAAGTAATAATTCAGCTAAGAAAATTAAAAGCAGAGAGCACTGAACAGTTTGAATGCTGCCTCCACGGAATACTTACGTAAAAGTATTAACTGTAAAGAGAGTACCTTTGGAGGCCATCACAGTCTCACCGGCAGTGGGACAAATGGACCTCCTAGCCTTCTGCTATGATGTGCTGAGAAGAAGACAGCATCAGCTCTGTAATGTTTCAGCCAAAACTGCATGCTCTGAATCTAATTAGGAAGCACCATACAAACTCAAACTGAGGAGCTTCTATGAAACAATAACCTGTAAGCGTTAAAAAAATTAAAGCCATGAAGGTCAAGGAAGAACTAAGAAATGGCTCTGAATTGAATGAAAATTAAGAAATGTGACACTAAGAGCAACATGTGATCTTGGTTTGGATTCTCTTGCTAAAAAGAACTTAATTGGGCAGCTGGAGAAACACGACTGGGGTCTTTGGGTGAAGAGTATGTAGGAATTATTTGTGGAGATCTTGCAGCCTTTTTGTAAGTATGAAATTATTTAAAAAGACCCAAAAGTAACAATTAAATTTGTTCAAAAACTTTTATTTACTATAAAGACAAAACACCAAAATAGGTACAAATACTATAAAATTGGTTCAATGGGGTAAAAATTTTAATTAAAATATCTCAATATATTTAAAATAACAAAGGATACATTTAAGCCAAATTTTCTTAACCCGGAGATTTTTTTTCTTTTTTTAACATTTGCTTACACAGTAAGGTGCTACTAGAAGTTAGCCCTTAAGCCCTGGAAGTCTTAGGAATCATAGTCACACAGCAAATATAATTTCATTGTGAAAGTGAACTTTGGTAGAAGAAAAATCTATAGGACACCTGAGGTAGTAGAAACTGGAATAAACAGCAGTAGACGTTATTTACAACTCGAGTACCAAATAACATTAAGAACACAAAAATAATTACACAATACAATTTTCAGTCCAGCTTTGATCCAAAGAAAATAAGAATATTACATCACATTTGCATTGAAAACAAAACAAAAAACAAAACACCACAATTACCAGCAAGCTGAGGGAACTGCAAACAAACTCAAACACAATGGATTTTGACATCTAGAGACAGTTTGAGTTTGAAATGTGGTGGGCATGGTGATCTACAAAGTAATACTGATTAGCTGAGGTTCCTCAGTTTATACAGTTTAGATTTCTGTCAGACGCCATGTTAATCTGACCAATGATTTTCCAGTACATAAAATGGCAAGAGTGTGTCCTTTAAAGCTTGTACATGAGAGACTTGGAAGTAATCTTATTAGAACTGTGAAAATTCTAACTTGTCAAAAAAAAAGTCAAATACAACACATTTAGAACTACCAAACTTCACATTTCTGTACTACTTTTAACTCTTCGAATATTGCCAATCTTCCAAAAAAAGGAATGTAAAATTTCACTAAGAAACACAATCACATAAAAAACTGCTTTTTAAAAATTATATGCAATATATCATGTAAACTTCTCTTGTAACTTATTTTACTTCCAAATTGTGTTGTACATTTTAAATGTACTCTATATAGCTTATTTAGTTTATCCTGAGTCTTTGAGAATAGCCAATTCTATTTCACACTGGCGTCTGAAGAGTTAAAACTTAACATCTCAAAGATATATTTAATAATCAGTACTTGATTTAAAAGACTCACACACACAGAAAGGATAAAAGAGCTACAATTTTCCTCCAGGATTCCATGCATCTGAATTCATCTCCAGACTAAAACCATTTAAATAATTGTGCAACACCCAAAGAACTGATATGTAAATGAAACTCAATTTCATTTTTTTTCTGAACATATTTTCTAAGTTCAAAGCAAATTTATTGTTAAAAACATTACTGATTGGTACTTGAATATATTAACTTTTCTTTAATTATCTATCAGGCAGGTATAGTGTAAAAAAAGATGATGCATGGTAGAAGGAAAATAGTTACTTGTTATACTCAATGGTAATGGTGAGTGATGGGCTGTTACATATACAGTAAGACTTAAATGGTGTGAAGTTTCCTACAGTTTAGCAAAGAAACTGACATATTAACAAAATTCAAATAAGTTTCAAGGTAATCTTCCACTTGGTTGTGAGCTGTATCACAAAAGACAGTTGATTTTGCTAATTCATATTTAATCTGCCCAGCAAGAGCAGTGACTCATTCAATGTAGGCAGTACTTTATTATATTCCAACTTTTAAAAAATGAAATCTGTATTTAAAAACTCTTGCAGTAGCAAGATATTTAATAAAGTCTAGTTCACACCTACTTCTATTTTTTTCTAGTTTGAAAAGACCACCTTTCCCTGAATATTAAACAAAAGTGGAGGTGAAATGAAAATACAGAACCATAATTTCCAGAAACGAAATGAATGGGCCAACAGTAAAATGCACAATGAATCACAACTGCCAGGCATTAAAAAAATAAAGGTCAACGGTGGATCATGAAGTCATCACCTTTAAAAAATATATGTATTTACTGCTACTCATAGCATACTTTGACCTAAAAGAGGCAGATACTGATTTTTATAGCCAGTGACCAAAAAACTGAACGGAATTACAGAACCCCCTGCTTGTGATCACGAAAAAAAATAGAATAATTGAAACATTAAAACAGATCCTGAGCCCCTCAGCTGCTAATATTGCTGAAAAAGTGCTCCAAAAATATTATGCTTCTGTTATTTAGTCATGCAAACTTCATTGCTTTCCTGTTTACCTAGGGCCAGTTCTTTGAAAGGCACAGTTTACATTTTCTGCACAAGTTGTAGACTTTTGCATATTGAGCTTAGGTACAGATCATGATTTGTCAATCACATACTTAGGTAAGGGTTCCCCACTGGCCTTATCATAGCTGTTCAGTGGCATGATGGCCAGCAGATTATCAATGTGGTTCCCCACAAGTTTTTTTTTCCTTGTTGAGCATCCAGTCTCTATTATAGTTTATTTTATAATTGGCTACCATGTAGTACGGAAGACTGGATGCTTCAGTAGCTCTCTTGATGGAGGTCTGTCCTGAGGTTGAAGTTCTAAACAACGAAGAGCCACATCACGTAAACCAGGAGACAGATGTGAAGGGATCGATGGAGCAGTAGTTGCACTAGCAATCTGCAGGACAAAAAGCCAGAGCATTAAAGCTTTCCACAAATACAACTCTGAATACAGAACACATGCATGTACTGCATAACCTTTATCAGTCTGTGTCTGTGCACTGCACTAATTTTTCCTTCAATAATGGACAAATCTTAATTCTTCATATCAAACACTACAAAGAACTGACTTTAATAAAGAGGTTACAAATGAATTTTAAAAATTCAAAGTGCTATGAAGAAAAATGTTAAAAAGTCTGTGATCCTATACCAAGCTATACTTAGCTGATACATATACATCTTACCACAAAAGAAAGGATACTTTCTCCTTGTTCCCAAATCTAATCATTCAGCACTAACAATTTTTTTCCTTTGTAGCTTAAAAAAAAAAAAAAGCTACCATATTCACACCATAGATTTTCTTTACAAAATGCCTACAAAAGGAATCACTTTATATACCGTGTTCTTTTCACTCATTCATATAGTGCAGCACTAACACACAACAGAGACTGAAGAGAGGCGACTGAGCAAGTTATAAAAATGAGGGGAAAACTGAAGGAAGGTGAGGGCTGGTAGGCAACTGTGGGCTAAGTGCTGGACTGAAGCCTAGAGGTAATTCTGCTTATATTTGTAACAATCTTATGAACCAGGTGCTATTACTGCATTCATTTTGCACATGAGAAAATAAATAGTAGACACAGAAAGTAATTTTCCGAAGGTCGCCTGGCCAGTTAGGGTAGAGCCAGGGTTTGAAACCAGGCCTGTATGACTCCAAAGCCCATACTTTTAATCATCACATGTCTACTCAAAAGCTAAAAATCTCAACTATTACTCTAGTCTACAGTGGAAATGGAGATAGTAAATTTGATAACTGTTTTACAGGTAGACAGGATTTGGCAACTGATATGGTAGTGAAGTTTTTAAGAAAATAATAAAGTGGATTTTAAAAAAATTATGAATTAGGGCTGGGGATTTAGCTCAGTGGTTCCAGCGCCTGCCTCGCAAGCTCAAGGACCCGAGTTCGATCCCCGGTACCAAAAAATAAAAAAAAAAATTATGAATTGTGTAATATGAAGAGCTTCAAGTTTCCAAAATTTTGTGTATACACACACACACACACACACAAATACATGCGTGGGTGTATATACACATGCATACACATATTTTGCCTGGGGGTAATGACTCAGTATTTGCTAATTTATTGTTTGTTTGTAGAGACTTTATAAACCTTAACTGCCTGAAATAGTGAGAAGTGATGGTAAATGCCACCAACAGTGACAACACAATTATAAATTTCTGTAGATCCATATTTATTTCAAGAAAGATGTATCTTTGTTAGATTGATAAGAGAGAACCTATGAGAATTTGACACCTGACAATTTTAGCACAAAAAAGTAATTTTTATCTCAAAATTACCTTAAATATCAAAGCAAGATGGTTGGAGTGTTTTTCTGCATTCCAAGGTGGTTTTGCACAAGCCATTTCTATAATAGCACAGCCAACACTCCATACATCACAGCTCCTACCATACTGCTGACCTCTTAGTACCTAAAATAAAGCAGAGTTAATTTGGAAATATGACTCACTTAAGGAAAGAGAGCCATTTTATAGTTATGGATTCTAATTTTTCTACATCAGAGCAAAATAATGGTACAAATAGCAATTGCTTGGACTACTTAATATCTCATTAACACGCTTCACACAAAAATAAACATTACAGAATTCCAAACCGGCTCCAGTTTTCTTGGAAAAAAGATATGAGGCAAACAGCAAATAATCATTACACATGAACATGAAGAGCCATAGAGAGAGGGCAAGTTCAGAGGAGCAATGCTTTGTTAGACTGTACTACTGACAAGGCCTGTCTCTGTGGGCTCACCAGCCTTTGGAACAGAGAGATAATTTTTAATGTTTTTATTGTGTGCACTTTGGATTTACTATGAAACAACTACTATAAACTACCAAACAGTTTTTGTTGTTGTTAGAAATAGCCTTTAAGCAAATCTGTTAAAGGCTATCTTTTGGAATTTCATTAAGACAAAGATAAAATGGCTGGGAATAAGGGTCTGAAGTACTGCATACTACTGTGAAATAATGTGGTATAATACTGTCACACAGATCTCTACAATATTTTCTTTCATCACATTCAAGACTACTTCTCACCTCTGGTGCCATAAACGCAATTGTTCCCAATAACTGTCCCTGAAACTCTCCTGCACCAGTTCCTTTTGACGCCAACCTGGCTGCAGCTCCAAAATCTGCAATTCTCAGCCTCTGACCTGTGCTGTCAATTAGCAAATTGGCACCTGTCAACAGAAACAGCAAATGACCTCATATGTTAAAAACAAAAGGACAGATTAAAAGCCCTGTAAATTTCCACTAATGATATAGGACAATGATGAAAGAAAGAAGTGGACTATATATTAGAACTTCAGAGAGGACCACTCTCTTCTTTCACATAATTATTGATAAAGGCACACTGGTCTCCCTAATGTGAACAAAATCTAAAGCCCCAGAAGGAAAGTCTGAAAAACAATCGTAAGGCATACCAAGAAAAGGGCACAGACTTGGTCAACTTTTAATTGAAAACCTCAGTAGTATAATAATTTCCAATAAAGTTTTTCTTCAAAATTCAAATTTTAGTATAATTTACATTTTGAGACAACACAGACTAATTCAAAGTTTATGCTTATTTCATAATTACAGCTAATAAAAATCTTATAATAGTAGTTCAATGCACTATTTCAAACACTAAAGAGGCTCATGACAGAAAACCAAAAGCTGCCCCTAATAAGAATAAACCGAGCTTATATGAAAGGATTTTTCTTAACAGAAGTTTAGGATATCCCAATTATTCTAAATAAAACCAAAAATAGGATTTTCTGGGAGTCAGCACATCATGAAACCAAGAAAGAAAGTCAAGAGGTTATCAAATAGTAATAAAACTGTGGTAAAGTTACAGTTTTTCTTGTATTGAATAAACTTCTATCAAATAAGAAAGAGAGATTAAATGGAGCCCCAAATGCTCCTTTTAGTTTTAATATTCTAGCAATTTGAGTTTTTCAGAGAATCCAATAGTTAAAAACTTAGGTTAGAAACTACCAACAAATGTCCAAGTATAAAAATTACATTTTTTTCTTAGTCACTAGAAAATAATTAAAAGAATTTTTTACCTTTGACATCTCTGTGAATGATCTGGTTTTCATGAAGATACGAAAGGCCACGTAGTAACTGTTCAGTGTAGTTAATAACTACTGATTCCTTGAAGGCTCCATATTTACTCAGCAGATGAGCCACAGATCCTCCTATACAATAAATACAAAATACCAGTAATTATCATAAACTTAGGTCAGAATTAAAATTATTTATTATGCTTTGGTTTCTTAAGCTTGCATTACATGAGCTCACATTCATGTCTGAAATGTTAAATTCATACTCCATATCATGAGTGAAACATTTCTCGCATCATTTCAAAAATTTATCAATTAGGAGACATTTTTACAAAACCCTCACGAAGCTAGTTTATCAAGATTTCAGAAAGCTTTAAAAGTTAACAGGAACTATTTCTGAATATACATTTTACTCTGTCTTCTCAATAAAAATATACAAAATGCCTTTATTATTGACTTATGTAAACAATGTTAACATATTATTTAGCAGAAGGTAAAGAGACTGAGAGAGGAGCCAGAAGGCCTAGAGTTAGGCTTCACATCCTACCATGCACTAGCTTCACCCTGGGACAAGTCACTAACTCAATGAACCCAATTTAAAAGTAGTTATAATAGTCAACCTATCTACTTTATATCCTCATGAAGACCAACAACAGATAATATACTTAAGAACTGATAACAGAAATACATTCTTAAAACATTCAAAATTTAGAAATTTAATAAAGCAATCTATGCATCACAATCTTGATTTGCTTTTAGAAATCCAAACTACTTTTTAAAGTTTACATTAAACTGTTCAAACTATTTAAAAAATTAAATGTTCACTAAACTGTTTTCCCTAAATTTAATAGCAGAAAGTTAAATCCATGTACTGTTATTTGTAATTTAAAACATGAACATACCTGCCATCCATTCAATGAAGAGATTGTAATTACTCTTCTCACATGTGGCTCCCAACATCCTAATGATGTTTGGATGGTTTAGATGGCTCATCATTCTTATCTCTTCTCTTAATGCCTCCACTACCTCTTCTTGCTCAGAAGATGTGTTTCTGACATATGTCACCTGTTTCAAATAAACATATTCACAAAGTTTTAAATTCTGAAAAATTAAAAAAAAAATTCCTGACCTAAATGGATAAATCCAAATTAGCTTATACATTAATAGCAGACAGCATTGATATTCATAGCTACAATGTATTTTATTTAAAAACAAGAATCTAGCTCATGCAGCTGTGGAATATAAAAACAGGCCAAAAAACTGGGAGATAGTCATGATTCTACTCGTCTAAAGCTGGAGTAAAAATGAGAAAAACCCAATCATGGGAAAACAATCAGTATGATTTAAAACCACAGAAACCAAGATGGCACTATACCAGTACACTGTTGATGGGAGTATGAAACCATACCTCCACTAAGTATAAAAAGCAAAGACAAGTCAACCTCAAACATCTATAAGTCCACCTTGACATTGTACCTTTTTGTTTGTTTGTTTTTTTGGTACCAGGGCTCGAACTCGGGTCCTTGCGCTTGTGCAGCAGGTGGCGAAACCACTGAGCTAAATCCCCGGCCCGACATTGTATCTTATAATAATCATGCTTCAAGTTTTGTTTTGTTTTGTTTTTTTGTGGTACTCTGGTAACTCTACTTCAAAACTTAGGCTTCTCAAAAGAACAAAAGTACATAAGTGTATAGGCATGTCCTTTACTTTTTTAATTTATGCATGCTTCATTTTATAATTTGAGTAATTTCACTTGTGTATTCATTAGATATTTACCTGTTTAACAGCCATTAACGTTCCGGTTCCCACATCCTGTGCTTGATAACAAGAAGAAAATGCCCCCAGGCCTATCTGTTGGCCTTTCAGCCATTCAGTGTCTTCTCTATAAGGTTGTTTTGCTTTGGTATGTCCTGGTAGAGTCTCTGGTGTCTACATATTAAATGAAAGCAATCTTTTTACTGTTAAATTAAAAGAGCAAGATTTTGTGAAATTAGCCTGGCAAAACATTAGTCTTGTTTAATCTGGTTTCCTGAACCACCTGTAAACCAGACCTCTGAAAGGATTATGTTGGTAACTAATCACTATTATAGAATCAGTAAGAAATGTTTTTGAAATAAGCCAGGAGTACTGTTGTTTAAAAGATATAAACATTACTGCTGAATAATTAATCACAAGAAAAACCTGCTTGCAATGAATCTCTTGTCTTAAAAGCAGCATTTCCGAATTAGATCTTAGCATGGTTTAAGGAAATTATAATTCTTAAGTAGGACTATACTTACATCTTGTTGGATAATAATGATATCTTCTCCATTTTCAACCTGTAATTGAGGAACTATGGGGAGGGCATCTTGAGATGCTGACATTGCCATGGCAATTGCTAAAGCTTCTTCTTCTTCAGCTTCCATCTTTTCTTTGCACTTCTGATTATGATTCACATCATCTTTGTAGGTTTCATCATTTTCAGCCTTCTCAGGAGAGAGAACAGCAACTTCTGACTTAAAAGTGACTGTTGTGTCACTTGAAGGCATAGATGCTTCAAGAAGGTCCTCGATACTGGAGTTGAGCTCTGTATTGACATCTAATCTGCATTTTTCCTCTACTGGGGTGAACACTGTCTCGTCACTGGGTATAACTGCATTACTATTGCTGCTGCTACTGCCAAAGCTGCCATCACATTTGGAAGTACTGTTCAGATCAAGTGTCATGCTATTTTTTAAGGCATCTCCCTGTTTACTTGTATTACCTGGGGTAGGTCGAGATGGCTTTGGCCTATGTATGTTGCTGGAGGGCAAGGGTCTTGACTGAGTGAAGATAGGGGAAAGTTTATCTGAGTCTTTGTTTTCAGAACAGTTTCTCTGGAATTGTAGAGAAAACTTGCGCTGGGTTTGAGGAGAAGCAGAAGATATTTTGCAGGGAATGAACCCCTGAGGTCTATGCTTGGAGACATCTGTTACAGAGCCAGCTGGTACAGATGGAGCAGATGAAGATGGGGTTGACAAGGCTGCAAATGTTTGTTGGGAATGATGAGACAAAAGAGAGTTCAAACACTGACTGTGGGGTCTGCCTTTTGTTTGAACCATTGGCTTTGGTTGCTCTGTTGTTGCTGAAGTAGGAAGTCCAACTGAAATGCTGGCCAGTCTGTCAGAAATGTCCTCTGAACTGTCATTCATTTTTGTAGCACATAATCCTTTTCCAGTTTTTTCTAAATGGACTGTGTGCTCCAGGGAACTGTTCTCTGTGGCTTCTGGATAGCTATTATGGGCAGATGCCTGCAAAAAACTGTCTTGTTGACCATCCAAAGTATCTTCCATGCCCAGCTGGATGGCCTCAGCGATTTCCACTTCATCGGCAATAGCCATCAGACGACGACGCATCCTAGTAAAGTGAGTAGAACTGGAAACACTCAGCATTTCTAACAGTTTTGAAAACACATGGGGTACTGCAGTCACCATTCTCGCAGAACTCAAATATATCCTTCGAGAGAGTTTACCAACCATTGAGTGGGAATTATCAATGGACTGCAAAGCAAAGGTTAAGAGGGACAGCAGCTTTTTATACCTGAAAGAAAAAACACATTCAATTACTAGATAAGTTCAAATTACTGAAGGATGTATGTATATTTAAAAAGGTGGCTTTTTTAGCTCTGCACTTCTAAAAGCATTTTCGTATGAAGGACCTATAGATTTTTAATTAAGTAGTGTAGACTTCAGGTTTTTATGCCAATCAAATATTAAGGTATTAGTAACTTCTCTATGCTCTCTTTTTTTTTTTTGTACCGGGGATCGAACTCAGGACCTTGCACTTGCAAGGCAGGCGCCGGAACCACTGAGCTAAATCCCCAGCCCTATATGCTCTTTTCATTTCTGAGTCTTTCAGAAATCTAAAATGTGTCATTCTTGGGGAAGATGTGAGGTAGGTAGGAAGAGGAAAGCAATGTATTTCCAGAATAAAAATCACCTGATTTCAACAGGCTCAGCTTGTGAAACATCAGTACTGACAATATGAGGATAAAATTCAGCAGGAAATTCCAACAATAGTCTATCCATTAGACAAAGGCGACCCAGGAGTTCTTGCCAGTTGTTTGGCTCAATTTGATTTCCAAGAATACAATTTAAGACATAATCAACACCACCAATACCAATGGATCCTACAAAAGGAAAGTAAAAAATAAATGATTTAAAAATAAAATTAAAAAAATCATAAAATGGTGCAAGGTCAACAGAAATTCTCTGGATTATATTAGTTTTTAGACTTTCTGTTAGATTAAGTCATATTTCTAACCACAACTGAATCAATTTACAAAATTACTTCAAATTCCTATAACTGCCCCAAAGAGAGATTATGAGACTAGGCAGTCTAAGGGAAATGACAGAATATTATGCTATGTAAATTTTAAGTAAAAAGTTATTACCAGCTTTAAGAATTTCTCTACCAACTGCCAACTCTCCTGCTTGGCCTTTGCACAATTCCAACAGTGTTGATATGGACAGCTGACTTGTGCGGCTAAAAACAGAAGGAAGTCAACATTAATTCTGGATCTAGGATAAGACATACATCAGTATCATAGCAGCAACATAAAGCTTTTTGAGAAAGTGGAAAAATAATGTTTTCAAGAGTTGTTATAGACTGTGTCTATATGTCCTCCCGAAGCCTCATTTGGCCACAGATGGGGCTTTTCAGAGGTGGCTAGATCTAGAACATGTGATGCTATGAGTAAGGTGCATGGATAATGGGAAGGCCCACCTTGGGTGTGAGTGCTACCCACCTTAAAGCCATGTAGCCTGCATAGAATATAAGGGACAGAAAGAGTACTGCTGGTCACTACTTGCTGCTGCTTCACTACTTCACTGCTTTAATGCCTTCTGCCCACCATGAACTATTTCTCTGCTACGCCCCTCTGCCATGCCACTGTGTTTTGGAGCCAGCCAACTATGAACGTGAAACCTCTACAAACTGTGAGCTATAATAAACCTTTCCTCCTTTAACTTTGAGTGTTGGGTGTTTTTTCTCAGCAATAAGAAAAGTAACTAAAACAGAAGTACTTTTTCACAGCTTAAAGTCACATTAACAATGTCACTATAAATAATATTTATTATTAAGTCTAATTTTATACATTTATCTTATCTGTGTTAAACACAGAATCTTCAGGATTGGCTCTTAGAGAGCAAGTAGTGATCTAAATATCAAATTAGATAAAAGGCTCATTTCTATTATTATATCTTATTAAAATAAAAAAAGATTGACATTATTTCTGAACTTTTATTAAGAATCTTTTGAATTAAAAATAAAACTTTGTCATCCAAAATGCTTATACTCTCTTATGATCTCAAGAATGAGTCCCGAATATCATAAATTTCTTATGGTTTCAATCATTCAAGCCACCAGGTAAACAATATAACTTTAGAATTTCAGAAAGTAGGTGATACAACAATGTCTTGAAAACATTTAAGTTCTCAAAAAATTACCTATTCTATAATTGAAAAATAACATGATTTTTCTTATACAGTTTATAAAATGTTAATTTGCCAATGTTTTCTAGATGCTATGTTTTTTCTATGCAACAAACCTCCAATATTTTTGATTTGTAGACTTAGGGAAAGAAAAAAATGGAGGCAAAAAAACAAAACAAAACAGGTTTCATGAGACCAGAATCTAGTCAAAGCTATGTATCTAAATATTGAGAACTTTTGCAAATAAATGCTTATGGCTTAGGGAGGAAAAGGAAGACTGGAATGAGAGAGCTCTGAATGAGTATAACAGCAAAGACTCAGTGCTTCTTGCCGATGATGTGCCACTGAGAAGAAATCGGGACTACCAAACAACTACTAACTATAGATACGCTTATTAAACAAAAAATGATCTTTCGTCCTTCTTTATGGAAGGAGAAAATCAAAAGAGAACCACAGGTCTAAGAAAAGTATGGTTTCTGCTAAACATACATACATATACATACATCTCTACTTCATATTTTCCTCCCCAGTTAGGATTACTATAGTTTCTTATCAATTTTAAGGACATTATAGGATAGAAAAATTTTAAATAATTTAAAAACTGTCATAATTAGAGTAAAATTGAAAATAAGACTGGAATTCTTTTTGGATTCTGGTAATAAGGCATAAGCAGATGTAATAATGTTGTGATATTGAGATTACATCTTATGGATATGTCAGCTATTGTTCTTATCAAGTGGACTTCAGATTACATATGTTATTTAACAGAATCAAGCACAATTATGTGCTCTTCCATGCAGTTTGTTAGAATGACTTTTACTTGGCATTAGTTCCTTTCCCTAATCCTTAAGTGCTCAAAGTTCTGTTTTAATTTCAAATCTTGTATTAGAAAAAAATAAAGACACATTTAACAAAATGTATTAATTATGCACTAGATGTGAAGCTAGGTGCTAGGCACTTTTAATTCAAGATGGTTTGAAGTGGTGTATCAATAAGGCCTTACCTATTGGCATCTGCACACTTGACTAGGATGGTGTCTACAACTGGCCGGAGAAGTCTCTGAAGTTTGATTCTTTCTGCTAAACTGTGGCAAGGAGTATATACCAGCATGGCTCTCAATGTTTTCTGGGAAGAAAAAACTGAAGGTCAGCTTAATTACTTTTAAAAAGCATCAGAGGCAATGTCCAATCTGAGACAATATGAACAACCAAAAATGATGATAAGAATGTATTATAAAGTGGTATTAACCAAAGTGATATTTAAGAAACAATAGGTGTTATATAGACAATGTTCTTATAATGTGCTAGGCATTATGAACAGAGGTTCTACAGAATGTAATTTCAAATCTAACAGGTAAGTATTATCATTATTTTATAGGTGAGCAAACTAAAGTTTGACAGCAGTTAAGTAACTGTTAAAGTCACACTGCAAATGGGAAAACTAGCATTTGAATCTGGTCCCTCTAATCCACCATATGTTCAGATTGCCTAGGTCAGTCCTAGTTTAACTAGTACATTATTCTAGTTCTGTCCCCAAACCTATATTCGTAACCATCTTGATTTATTTGTAAGAAGACGATTTGTTAGGCAAGACTGCTAGGGAGTGGATTTGAAAAAAATATCGCGAGAGGTAGCTTGATGACTCAGTTTTAAGAACAGATGAGATAAGAATTATTTTAAAGCAGTGATTTTGAAGTGGGGGCAACTGTGAGGTCCAGGGGACATCTGGCAATGTCCACAGACATTCTTGGCTGTCATGACTTTAGGCTAAGGGGGTGGAAGGATGAGGGTGGGTTTGCTACTCATTTCTAATAGAAGCCAGAGATGCTGCTAAATATCCTATTGTGCACAGAACAGTATCCCTAGTACCTTCCCATCCCCCACAAGTCATTTCTGGCCAATGACAATAGTGCTGAAGTTGTCAACAATGGTCAAAAGAGATACACATTCAGACTGGAGAAGGTCTCATTAGTCTCCAAAATTACCTTTTTGTCATTTTCTCCCACTCATGAGAGACAACTTCCAACAGGTTAATCTGGAAAAATAACTCAGTGTCTATGTCATGGACCCCTCTCCATACAGTGTTTATTAAAAGTCAAGCAAAATGTTTACTAAAAATAAATCCTCAATGTCTACTGACATCAAATTTTAAAAAATCAAATAAGTTTGATCACTTTTCTATCCCATTTAGGTTGGTCATATGTGGGGTTACATTTCAGGGAAATATATGAATAGTATTACACAGCTACTTGAGGGAAGTAAAGAGTATATAAGAAAACTTGACTAGACTAAAGTCAGTAAAATTAAAATGCTTAGATTAAATGGAAAATTGCAATTTCCTGGGATTATATGGAATAAGAATAAAATTTGAACTTTCCAAAATTGCATTAAGTAAAGTAGCTTTATTGTATCTTAAAACAGTATCAACAGGGCCGGCGATTTAGCTCAGTGGTTCCGTCACCTGCCTCGAAAGCGCAAGGTCTCAAGTTTGATCCCTGGTACCAAAACCAAAACCAAAACAAAAAACACTAGTATCAACAAACCACAAAAAAGATATTGCATAATGATATCATTAATGAAAAAAAGCTACTTACTAAAGCAGCAACGTACACTTTGTAGACAGGGTCAGCACAGACCATGGACAAGACACTGCAGCACGCCTCCACCACGTCTCCTGAGATGCTGGTCTGGGAGGACCCACTGGTGGCTCCAGCACTTGGGCTGCTTGCACCACTGCCCCCAGAATTTCCAGTGCTCTCCCCATTTGCCAACAGCAGGGCCCCACTAACATCATGGGAAAGACGCCTGAGGGCCATCTCTCTTACATTCCAGTTTCTAGAAAATAAGCAGCCAACGAGTTCCATTCCAAATACCTATTTCAAACAAATACAATGAGAAGAAAAACTAATGACTTAGAGACAAATACAATGAGAAGAAAATCTAATGACCCAGAGTATGTTAAGCACAATTTTTAATTATTAAAGAAAAACTGGTCATTTCTTAATTCTTTACTGTATTATTCAATTTCAAGTAGGTTCAGCCACTTAAAAATCATAAGGAGAAATTTTATATATAAAGTCTAACTGGTATTTATCAAAAGTCACAAACATTTATTATCTCAAGGAAAATTAAGAGTGAACTCTACCAACTAGATAGATATATATACATATATTTTTATGCCTGTGTCCCTCATATTTGCCCAAAACAACCATCCGACCCAGAAACAACTGTGAAGAACTCCTTATATCTATGTCAGGGTAGTTTACAGAGAAAAAACTGGATCAAGGTTTCAAAAAAAGCCAAGTCAAGAAAGGCACTAGAGTGGAGGCTTCAAAACATATTGACAAGGCCTGGTATGGTGGTACATGTCTATAATCCTAGCACTTGAGAAGTTGAGAGGATTACTGAGAGTTCAAGGCCAGCCTGGACTATACAGTGAGTTTAAGATTAGGCTGGACAGTGAGACCTTGTCTCAAAAACCAACCAACCAACCAACCAAACAATGTCAAAACAAAAGCAAATTGTCTTGGTTAGAAAGGGCAGTGAGTCATCAGGCAATTGACACTGACAAGTTCTAGCTTGTGCTTCGAGTACCAAACAAACAATGACTTGGACAAAACTTTTATGTCAAAATGCATTGAGTACCAAACTCAACAAGTTTCAAAGCAGTCAAGTACTGAGGTCTGACTGTATAGTACAGTCCAAACTGAAGCTTAAGCAAACAAATTATGTCCTTGAAAGAAGGGTACCTAGTAGCTGAGAATCAACTTGAGAGTTCTTTGAGGGCTCTGGAATGGGCAGGTGAGGGCCTATGTTAAATGCCATTAATGAACTAGATAAAAGAATTAAGATATGCTTATTAGTTTTGTGGATTTTATTGGATTCTTAGTGGTTCGTTAACATGCTGAGAAGAAAAATTCCAAAGCTACAGGGTTATATGAGTATCTGTTGACAAATTTAATAGTTTTAATGGAATTTAACAGATTATCAAGAATAATTATTTTACTTCATTACTGTCTACCAGAGACACTGTTTAGTTTTGGATTTACATTTTTAAAGCAGAAAAATATTAATACCAAAAATAAAAAATTTGAATGGACTAAGAGTCATGATGGAGGTATGTAAAAATATTTTCTTAAATTATAAAAAATTGAGGGAAAAGGACAGATACATTAACTAGTCTACAAATGTCTAAGATATGAAGAGCAAAGAACTACTTACTTGAATCCATGGCTCAGCTAAATCTTTATATGCAGGAGGGATCTGCTGAGTTCCATAATGAGTAAGGTTAAAGCTGCTCTCCTGATTCCTTCTCTGTGATCCAGCCAGAGGCTGCTGCTGTGTGGTTTGCTGCTGTGTAGCTCGCAGGGAAGACGGGGAATCTACAGGGCTTGACAACTCATGGCTATGAAAAATAATAAAAATTGCTAAGAAATGTTAACAGATTTAAAACACACTTTAAGAACATCTTTTTTTTTAAAGTAAACACACAAGTCATTAATTCAAAATGACTACCTGTAGAAATCATGGGATCTCCACTTAGACCTACAAAGAGGACATATTAAAGGTTCTCTATTTCTTCTACATTCTTCTGCCCCTGTAATATTAAAGAAAAAAATCTTACCAAAATGTAAATGTTAAACATTAAACACACATATGTCATAACTGTTTACAATGGTTAGGATTTACATGGAAGGAACCTTGAATGATAATCTGATAGAATATTTATCTGAAACCAGACAAACACTGCACGTTAAATTGTTCTGATGCTTGTGCCTTTTGCAAGCCATACTATATTTTATTAGTTATGAGAAGATGCACTTTACTATCTGTTCAAATGTTCTTTCCCTCACTTCTAGCCTTGTTGTTGGTCCCCTCTCTGTAAAGCTCCGCCTAGGCCTTCTTCCACTTCCTTCCCACCATGAATACCCTCCAGGTAGGAGTTCTTTCTCACTTTGTGCACTCCTTCCATTTCCATGTGAATCATATGATATTGCATTGTCTTTGCTTACACAGATCATCTCCTGATAGATCCTAAACTCCAATTTGTTGAAAACTACACAGGGATTCCAGACTTTTTTCCCTGCTCTCACCAATCTCCCTACAAACCATGTTACACGTCCCCTCCATCCCCCCAAAATCAGTTAGTTATGGAGCAACTGTATTGAATAGCACAGGGAGAAAAGGAGCCACCTACAGATGGACATGCAGTGGTGGTGCAGCTTGTTCCTGCAGCCATCTTCACACACTGTAAGACTTTCTTCATCAAGCATGCCCAGTAAGCATATAGGACACATTTGTTCCTCTTCATCTTTTATGCTACAAGGAAGAAAACGCAAAGTAATAGCTATAAAAGAACATAAAACAGAATATTACATGCTAATTAGAATTACAAAGCTTCTTTAGAATACGAACATATTAAATAGAAATTCTTGTTTAAGAAGATCTTCTATTAACTATTTGAGGGCTACTTCTTTCTCTTTCAAATTAGATTCACATATATGTGTATTTATAGATTGTGTATCTAGGTTATCCTGTTTTTACTATAATTACAATTCAACACATGAACTGAAATCCGAGAAAAAGTATTTGTATCCCTAAAATTCTGTTACTGTCCCTCCTGAATGATGTTTGACTATGGATGAATGGTATCAGTTTATATATGGTATCAGTTTCAAGATCTGAAGTACTGGGACCTTAGAGCTCACCTATTCCACATCCTAAATTTGGACCGCTGGCAGTAAAAACTGGTCCAAGTTTCTTAGCAACAATCTAGAAACATGTATCACATTTTAAATGTGTATAACCATTCTCCTAAAATTCCAGAAACATATAAAGAAATGAGACAAAAAGATATGTATGTGAACGTTTGCTGACATATTAATTTATATAATGAAAAAATGAGTATCAAAAAGAAATTTAAGGGCCAGGGATTTAGCTCAGTGGTTCCAGTGCCTGCCTCGCAAGTGCAAGGTCCCAAGTTCAATCCCCAGTACCAGAAAAAAAAAAGAAATTTAAAAATTATAGTACACTAGACACTATGAACCCTTGAAAAGAAATGAAGAGATCCATAGAGATGTTCACAATATATTATAGGGCGAAGAAAAAAAAAAACAATGCAGACATGTTAAATTCGTAACATTTACAAAATGATTCCATTTATGGCAAAATATGGCATAACTGTAACAGAAAGTGGACAATTTTATTATACATATATGAATATTCCTAATATACAAGGCGTTTCTCAAAAATCAGTAACAAAAATATTAATAATTCAATTGTAAAATGGACAAGAGAAAAAGAATTAAAATAATAGTTAATAAACATGCAAAGAGAAGTTATTAAATTAATGAAACTACATCTTTTTTTTTTTTTGATATTCTGATTGGCAAAAACTTAACAGCCTGGTAACATCCGACCCTGATAATGAGATAGAAAAACAAGTTTTCATGCATACTTGGGATGGGAATAAAACCTGAAATTTCTAGAAGGTAATTTTGTTAGTTCTTTAAAATGCTAAATGTTTAGATCCATGACCTAAAATTTCCACTTTCTAGGCTGCTAAACTACAGAAATATTACAAATTATGCAAACAAAAAAACTAAAGGCATATTTAATATTCATTAATTAAAGTAATGGTGAAACAACAATATTATACAGCCATAAAAAAAAAGGAGTATGTTTGTACTGACTCGGGAAAATGTTATTGATATATAAAATCAAATAAAAATGAAAGCAAGTTGTACCAGAATTCTGGAAGGCTGAGGCAGGAGGACAAAGTTTGAGCCCTGCCTGGGCAACGTGGGTGACTTAACAAGACTGACTCAAAATTAAAAATAAAGAGCTGAGGGTGTAGCTCAGTGCAAAGGCCCTGAGTTCAATCCCTTGTACCACAAAAAAGCAAGCTTCAGAACACATTACCAATTTTGTAGCATGACTTTGTATTTGTTTTAAAAAAGGTGAGAAGCACTGTGTGTTTGTGCTTAAGAGCAGAATGCAAGAAGTTTTATTTCCTTGTTTTTCATAATTTTATACAATTTTTAAAAGTTAGATTAACGAAAGTTATTTTGTGTGCTGTCAGACTGGAGATTATTCTATTTTATAAGTGTTTCTGTTTGAACTTGTATGTGATGACTTTTAAACTTAATAATACTCCATTACAACATAAAGACAAGGCCCTCTGAGAGTTGTTTGAAGTCATAAAGCCAGTCTGTGACAGACCTATCATTAGACTATTACTTGAGAAGAACATGCCATAGCCTATCTTCTAGGAACTGAAAGTCTAAATTGACGCTTTCCCCTGGGCCCGATATTGCACTCTATGAACTGAAGCTATAATTTTGAAAAATAGGTCTGACTGATTAACACCAAAATAACCAATTCCTCAAGTGCACAGGAAACTTTCCAAAAGCTGAACAAACAGGCCAGTAAGTCATATAACGGTGAGATGAAAGCATGCTCACGTTACAGAAATGATTTATATAACAATCTAATAAAAATATTAATGCAAACTATCCAAGGTCAACCCATTCTTCAAATATAATTACACTAAAATTAGCTTATTTAAAAGAGGAAAAAAATTTCCCACACTTCAGTCAAACTGCAAGTGCAATCTATTATTTTATGTGTCTTTGTTTGTGTGTTTTGAGACAGGGTCTTGCAATGTAAGGCTGGCCTTGAACCCACTATGTGGCCCAGGTTAGCCTCAAACAGTGATCCTCCTGCCTTGGTCTCCTGAGTGCTGGAATTAGAGGTGTGTGCCACTATATTGTGTTTGTTATTTATGTGCTTTTTTGAGGAATACAAACATATGTATCAGCTGGGCCCCACGTTTTTTCCACCTAAATATTTTGTAAAATAGTTCATATGTGCTGTATTTCATACTCATAAAAATTTTATTATAAAATTCTGCTTATCATTAAATTCTTCATAAATATAACTTTTTAAAAATTTCTTTTTGCTGTGGTAAAGTATATGTAACAGAATTTGCAATTATAACCATTTTAATAGTATAATTTGGTATTAAATGTGTTCACATTGTGCAACCATCACCACTAACTCCAGAATTCTTTTTCATCTTGTAAAACTGAAACTATCCACAACAGTAATTCCCCATGTTCTCCTTGTCCTAGCCTCTGGCAACACCATTCTTTTGTCTCCATGATTTTCACTGGAGACCTCATATGACTGGAGTCTTATTTGTCTTTTTGTGTCTGCCTTATTTCACTTAGCATAAACGTCCTCAGGGTTCATTCATGTTGTATCATATATCAGCACTTACTTCCTTTTTACGCCCAAATAACATTCCATTTTATGTATTTCATTTTTTTTTTTTTGGTACCAGGGATTGAACTCGGGACCTTGCGCTTGCAGAGCAGGCAGTAGAGCTACTGAGCTAAATCACCAGCCCTTGTTTATCCTTTGATAGACACTTGGGTTACTTCTACCATATAGCTGTAATTTTTAATGGTAGTATACTTTTCCACTAACTAGATAGATTCTATTTAAGTGTTCACTTATTGTTGATATGAGTGGTTTTCTTATTTTTATATTTTGAGAAACCACTATAAACATCTTTGTGCCACTCTTTTGACCCTTCAGATTTTTCATTTTGGTAGTTTTTTCAGAAGTAAAATCTCTTGAGTATAGACAGTAACAAACTGCAAGGGGAATAATCAACCTGTGGCCTACTTTTGTAAATAAAGTTTTACTGAAACCCAGCCATGATCATTCATCTACATCATCATCATTATCTATTAATTCATTTGATAAGGGTAGACCAGCACTACATTTAAGTGAAAAAAGTCACTTGTAATAACACCTCTTACTAATAAACACTAAAATTTTTACTCTAATTTGTACGCACTTAACCACTTAACAGTTTACCCTAGCATCACTCAGGCAGTGCATTTGTCTATGTATGTACTCATCACCCCGAGCACTGCTTGGCAGGTGTTGAATATTTTAAGATACACCATACACAGAAAAATTATTGAATAAATTTGATAAAACAGTCATTTTTATATTTCCTGTTGTATTATCTTATACATATTAACAAAAATATGCAATTTTTGGTCATTCTGTATTTAAATTGGACTGGCAAGTGGTTAAAGTACTGTTTGTATGTAAAAATTGGACATAGATATGGTACACTGTTATAATCTGAATGGGTTTCACCTATTAAATTTTTCCATGCTCTTCTGCATTCTTGAAAAACCCAATTTTAATAGCTGCAGGACAGGACATACACATTCATAGCATGGGCATACTTTATCTATTCTTTCGCTATTAGTTTAAGTTGTTCTGAATGTTTCACCATATAAAGGGTGATCAAAAAATGTTTAAATTCAGAAAAAAATTATAGTAAGAGATGCACTGCCAACAATGATGGGATGTGTTGAAAGTGAGGGGAAGCTTCTTAAGGGCAACTAATGGCAATATATCTTTAATGTAGTAAATTTTTAATTGGAAACAGTCACCAAGGTTTTTGATCATACCAGGTTAATCCACCATTTACAGCAATTTTTGTGAAATACAAACAGTGTGAAGTGTCCTCATCTGACTTATTTACTGGATCTGAAACTGTGCAACTTCTGGCTCTTCCCCAAAGTCAAAATGACAATGAAAGATAAATGTTTTGAATCAATTCAGGGCAGTCACGGAGGAAGCCATGACAGAGGATGTAAACAGTTATGAAAGAGGAATTCTAGAAATTTCAGAAGGTGGCAATAATGATGGGATAAGTGTGCTCAAAGTAAGGGGAAGTATTCTGAGGAAGACTAATGGTTATGTCTCTTTGACTGTAGTAAATTTTAAAAATTTAATCATTTACTGTTATCTTGTGGCCATACCTTATAAAGTTTGCAAACTGCAATGTAATCATTATATACTCCAAACATGTATTAATAAAAAATAAAAATTGTTTTTCTTTTTTTTTTGGTACTGGGGATCGAACTTGGGTCCTTGAGCTTGCGAGGCAGGCAGTGGAACCACTGAGCTAAACCCCAGCCCAAAAATTGTTTTTCTTAAAAAAATTAAAAGTAACACTTATTAGATCAATGAATATAAATGCTTTTAGAAGCTGCATTACTTTTACCCAGAAAGGCTATACCATTTACACTCAGTGACACTTATCCTTACAAGAACTTGTGTCTCACAAACAAAAAAGTCTCCACTATTTCTTTTCTCACATTTTCTGTAAATAAAAACTGATAGTTTTTAAAAATTGGCTCCCCTCCCCGTTTTAGTTATTAGGTTAACTAAACATGTTTGTTAGCTCCTTAAAATTATTCTTTTGTAAATATTCTCTTCATCTCTTTTGTTCATTTATATACTGAGATCCTAGGTTCCTCTTTCCAGTATTGTTTTTGCTAAGTTTCTGTTAGTTATTTTGTAAGTATTTTCAGTTTATTCTAATTCTATTTTTTATTATTTCCGAAATACTGAACATTTTTATGTGATCAGAACTCTAGCTGTGTCCTTTGTGTTTGCTTCTGATTGATTTTAGCCATTAGATATAAAAATACATGATTACATGAAAAAACCCCTACATGGTATAATATCAGTGTATCACAATATAACTTTTCCCTCCATGGTTCTACCAACAAAATTCATTCTAAAAGAATCCCAAATTATGACCAGTCCATATTGGAAGCTGTCTTTTTTCTTAGAGAGAAACTTTCTATTTTGCTTTTGGCTATCTGGTTTTAAACATGTTATTTTTCTTCAAAATGTCAATCCAAAGGAGAAAGATTCTAGCCTAAGTGTGGGACAGGAAGTTTGAGACATAAAACTCAATTAAAAAAAATTCTATTTAGAAGACATAAAGGGCAAAAAAAAGAGCCCTGAATGAGGGGAGTCAAGATACACAGATACTAGTTATACCCGTAGTCAAATAACTGCATGATCTCTTCTGGCTTCCCTCATTATTAGGGTGAGTAAGCTATCTCTCCTCCTCACTGAGCCTTTGTCACGTTATCACCACTTCTGCATTCTTCATGAATTCTAAGGTAGTTACAATACTTAGAAGGTTGATGGGATGAAAATGGACTTAACCAGTTAGACCAGTGCTTCTCAAACTAGAGTCCCTTGGGAACATACAGGAGGGGCCCTCACTACTTTCTGCAGTAATTTAAAGATCCCATTTTTACACTGAAACTAATAAGATAATCACAGAATATAAAGAAAACTCACACGAATTATTATGATACTATTACATATTTGAAAAAATGTTCACATTTGTCATTTTGGAATACACATCAGATCCTTAAAGATTTACGAGTTCATCTTATCAGCAATAGGCAATGGGAAACGTTAAGAAGCTGTAGCTTTTAAATAGTAACTGTGTTAACACCTACTGTACTTAAGTAAAATGATTAGTCTATTTACTTGGAATATGCTAATATTCTCACAGGTAAACCAGCCTACAGAGAGGATTCATTGAAAATATGAAAGAAGTAGTGAGGTTATACAATTTAAAATACTATAGTTGAAAGTGACTTTGGAAAACAACTTTGCCTTGTATATAATTATTTGTGAAAGAACTACAGACATTTCCTTCCATTATAGAGTGCGTTGGCGCCACTATCTGTTCAACAGCGATGAAATCTACCTTGTTACAAGAATAGAATGAGACAACATGTAAGGCACTTGGCACAAAGCAATAACAGACAGTAGGTGCTTATTCTTTTGCCTCTGCGATCGGATTTTTATCATGAAATGTGCATTTACTAATGTGTCATTTTTCAACACTGCAGGTTTTAGGACAGAATATCCTCAGATGACCTTCAATATTCTTTACCCTTGATTTTAACACAAAAACCAAGACTCAATAATTAAATTATTTTAGAGCAAGTGAACAAGTAGATACTAAAATAAAAAGTAACACTGAGTTAATGTTTAACCCCTTAAGAAGTACTAACCTGTTTTCTGAACTGGATGTAGAAGTACTAGATGATGACAATGTATGAGGGTTTGACATGCGCGAAACAAACTTCTGGATGGTGCTACGAGATGGAGCTTTGATTCTTGAGCTGCGCCTACTGTGGTATTTCTGGAACAAACTCTCAACCTAACATTGGAAAAAGACAGCAACAATGATATTTGTGCCATAATTATGCATAAGAAGAGTTCTAGCGGCGAAATTATTCATGTTGTTTCTGCACATTTTTCATAAAGCTGATTTAAGTGCTTCAAAAATAAGAACACATCAAAATTATCGCTATTTATGTTTAGTGCTCATGAAAGATTTTCAGGAATGTACTATAAAAATTTACTCTAAAGCATTTATAAAAATATTACCTCAAAATTCTTTAAAGTTTTTCTCCATAACATTGGGTCTGAGGGTTCTAGTTGAAACACCCGAAGCATAACAAATAACAGATGAATACAAAATGTTCCACGGCCACAGCTGCAGTTCTGAAGAATTAAAAGAAAATCTATGAGTTAATAAATCTGTGGTTCTATTAGAACTTTTAACTTAATCAGATTTTTTAATATTCTGGAGTTTGTTATATTTGTCTATTACTTCACGTTCTTCATTCTCCTCACCTATAAAAAGTCTACAACTAGTTTTATGAATTACTTTTTTAAGGTCTTAAATCTTAAAAAATTAAGGTATTAAACCTCAAAATACATTAAAAAAATGTTTATTAGCCCAAAATGTTTTAAACTCACTTTATTTTTACTAAAGGAATTAACTGATCTCAATTTAAAAGCCTTTATAGTATGTAAATTTGAGTTAGTAACAGATATTAATAAAATGTAACACAGTGACGAACCCTACCTGTGGCCCTATAAACACCCGGTATTTATTGTCTGGGCTGTCGCCTCCAATCAGGAAAGAGTTGGGTCCTATTTGCTGCAGTAAGTACAGCCGTGCCCGCATCACTTTGTTCACACGACGGTTCGTTTCCTCAGGGCTGTATGGTGAGAAGCCATCTGGTGAAGGGGCTCTCCGGGGTGGTGTGATTCTGCCACTCTGAAACTTCATAACAGGTTTTTGATTCGGTAAGTTTCTTGCTTCTCCATAATGAATAAATATCCAAAAACAAAGTCGTGCCAGACAACCATGAGGCAGATTATATACTGAAAAAATGCCTCACTCTATAATGAAACCAAGTCAGCTAAAATACTGTTGTCTGCCATACTCATCTCAGGCAAACTTTTAAAAATCTCAGTGATCCTTTTAACTGATGATAAATCTCTGGCTGAGACAGACAACCATATGGTCATTTTACAAATTATTCTATAAATATTTGAGGTCTTTGAAAAGTATTATGTTAACCAAAATTAAAAGCATAAGAAGTGAACACCACAAGAGACAAAATGACTACATCTAGTGGTAAAAAATTAAATATATACTCTCTTGGCTTCTATTTAATGCTTTATTAAATCCCTTCTGTAACTGGTTAACTACGAACATTACCATGCAACCTCTCCCAAGGTACACTATGTAGAGACTCTTTCATGATTTTTTACATCTCAATGGAGAGGCAAAACCTCTCCTGTGCTGAGAGTAACATCTATTGTTCTTATTATACTTCACTGATTTTCATAGCGCTTGGTCTTTCCATCAATACTCAGTGGAATTCCGGTTATTTTGGATGCCTCACTAAATAGTTAAAAATAATAAATGTTGGCAAGAACATGAAGCAATGGGATCCTTCTACTGGTGACCAAAATGCTTCAGGAAACAGTGCACCAGTTCCTCAAAATGTTCAACACATTACCTAGCAATTTCATCTCTAAGAATAAACCTAAGAGGGCTGGGGATTTAGCTCAGTGGTTCCACTGCCTGCCTTGCAAGCGCCAAGGTCCTGAGATCATCCCCCATACCAAAAAAAAAGAATAAACCCAAGAGAAATGAAAACACGTTCAACAGCCAAAGGTGGAAACAGCCCAACTGATTAAAGTATGGAACATATCCACAACAAAAAAAGTATTATTTTGCAATTGAAAATGGAGTACTGGTGCATGCTATAGCATGGATGAATCTTGAAAACATGATACGAAGAGAAAGAAGCCAGTTGCAAAAGACCACCCATTATTTGGTTAAATTTATATGAAATGTCCAGAAGAGGCAAATATAGAGACAAAAAATAGATTAGTGAGTGCCAGGGCTGGGGAGACTGCTGTTAAAAAGTAAACTTCACTGCCTGCCTCGCAAGCAGAAGGTCCCGAGTTTGATCCCTGGTACCAAAAAAAAAGTGAACTTCAAACAAAATAAATGTAACTTTATTTGAGCAAAGAATGATTCATCAGCACTCAAAATCAGGTCAGTGAGCTCTGACTTAGTAGTATTAACTTCCACTTTTTATAGGCTGAAAATACAGTATTGTTGAAATGGTTATAGTGAGACTTTTGCTTTATCTGGGCATGTGTGATAGGTGGTCCCTAGGTATATAATCAGCTGGCCTGTTGGCTGTATGTGATTGGCCGAAGCTCAGTTTGGCTTCCAAGTATAGAAATAATTTGAGGCTAATGGCCTCATGCTTATTTGTTGGGAGCATTTCTACATAAATTTTGAGGAAAAGTCATTTCATAATTAAAGTATGACTGTCTAAGGCTCAATGTCACCTTTCCACCAGCTATGGCTTTTGGAAACGTAACTCTGTTTTGTCTCTGGTCACAGCTGAGGCCTCAAGGGTCCTGGTGATGTTGTGGTGCTCACCAGCAAGATTACATCAGCTGAAGATATCCTAGTTCTTTGAGTAGTAATACAAAAAGAGTAGTAATACAAAAAGAAAAAGGTTTCCCTTGAGGAGAGACTAATTCCTTGTCAAACTTAACTCATCCCACCCACCACTGTAAGAATGCTCTCTGTACAGTCCTCCTTGTGACTTAAGATCTTCACCAGCTCCTCAAGTACTTTGACCATCACCCCCCAAGTCAGCTGATGTTCTCTCCAATTATTGTGTGTACCCAATAAATAGTGGCTAGCTGGGAGAGTCTTTGTCTTTGACCACTCTGAGGCACTGACCTCCCGGCCCCCATATACTTTGAAATTACACAAGTCTCTATTGTATTTTTAGTCCTTGCTGTACCCCTTTCTAGGCAGTCAGAGGATTTATGGCCCTCTGATATTTATTTTGCTTTAAAAGTGGGGTTGTTGGGAGTGTGTGTGTGAGAAGATGCAATTCAGTGTACTTTGATGGACTCCATGAACCCCACCTCTCAGTATTTACAGACTTGAGTAACCCTACTACTACATGCAACTGAGTTTAGGCATATAACTAGCTTTGGGCAATGAGGACTAGCAATCACGATGTAAATGGAGGCTTAAGAATAGAACGTATGTTGGGCCTTGCCCCCTTCAAACACTTCTATTGTAATCCAGCCACCTTGCTATGAGGAAGAGATGCTAGTGGGCCCCTATTGTTCTCACATTGCAGCTGAAGCTATGCACGTGGTGGAGAAGCAGCTATGAATACTCCAGCTTCAGCAGATGCCATGGGGAGTAACGATAAGCTGCCCCTGCTGAACCCTGTCCAGTTTGCAAATTCATGAGAAATGGTGGTTATTGTTAGTAATAAAAATAAAATTTTTGAAGGATTTTTGTGTTTTATAACAACTCCAGATCTGAGGAAAACCAAAGCTCCCCTGTGTCACCATCTCTACTATTTTCCCATTTATTCACTGGCTCTTCAATGTTATGAAGTGTTTTAACAAGCACTTCTACCTTTAGAAGTCTCAGGATGCTACTCATCTTTTTACAAATCTCTTGGATGTGTGGTTTAGTATAGAAAACAGCTGAATGTTACAAGGGCATGTGTTTAGTAAGGCTTGAAATTTAATACAAAATTAATTTCTATTTCTTTGTCAAAAGCATTCTTAAAACAAAGTGACTTGTCTTTTTTCATCTTTTCTTTTTCCTTTAATGGCTAATATACAGCAAAAAAGATTACAGATTCTATTATCATAGTCTTATTTTGGATGAAAGCACTAGCAGCTTTGCCACCATTGAAGTTATCAATGCAGTGAAAGATGAAGGCAATGTATCAGTATCATTACAAAACTACTTTTGACCTAAGGGCTCCCAGAAAGGGTCTCAGGAGCCAATCACCATATATATTTAGACCAGAAGTGACGAATCTAAGGCACTAGTGCCGAAGCTAGCTGTCTGTCATCTTTGAAAGCTCTAAAAGGTTTGCCATGACTGACAGACCATACTTTGAAAACCACTGCTCTAGCAGATGGCCAAGCAATCTTTTCTGTGTCATATATGAGTCTAAAATTGATAGAAATAACGTATTTGTCAAAACATGAACTTACGGGCACGGGGGAAACTCTCTTTCTCCTTACTCCTGGAGATTCTGACTTCACTGTGCGACTTGATGGGGAGCTACCAGGTGATGGGCTGCGCCGGCCCTTTGGGGCTGAACAAGCAGTGCTTGCTTGGCCGTCTCCTTGAGACTCAGCTGCCAAGTTACTCATTTCAGAGCCATCTCCTTTAATAGGGATTGGCTTTACCACCTGAATAAAAAGAATTCAAATTTTGAGTACTTAAAAATATAAAAGATAAACACAATTAACAACACAGATTAGGATAATAAACTTAATGAATTATAAAATATTAAATACAACAACCAATATTTTATGTGTTATTACTTTTAAGCCATCAATGTCAAAGACTGGTTTTTACCAAATAGGTATCAGAGTTAATCACTAGTTAAAAATTCTACTGTACAAAATTTGAGGCATATTACCTTATATCTCTTATTTAATATTCAAAATCAATAAAAGTAAATGAATGTGAAAAATAAGCACTTTTAACTTTTTTTTTTTTGGTCCCGGGGATCGAACTCTGGTCCTTGTGCTTGCAGGGCAGGCGGCAGAACCACTGAGCTAAATTCCCGGCCCAAGCACTTTTAACTTTAATACTTTTCCTATCTTTTTGAAAAATGCAGGGCCTTGAAAACAATTCTGAGCCTAAATTTAAGTAATTAAATAGTCTGATGAATATAAAACCATGTTGCTGTTTTTTTTTAAAAGTTATTTCACAACAGCTTAGATATGCATCTCAGAAAACTAAAAGAAGCTAAAATGTTTAACACCAATCTCTCAAGCAGAAATGCTTTTTAAAGAAGAAACAGGATTCTCAGACTGAATTCAGCCATGAGCAGAACGCCAAACTCTGCAGCCTTAGTACAGGTGAAGCTCAGCAGACCTTTCCATTCCACAGCCAGCTGCTGTGCCACAAAATCTGCCTGACCTTTCTGCACTCTGTGGTGCACTACTCTCCTCTTAATCCCCATGGGGTAGCTAAAACAGCTGGAATGTAAAGGACAATCAGATTTACTCTGTAGCACTCCACTGGTTAAAATCAGAACCAGTGGGAAGAGTATACGCAGCAGTCTGCAGCTCAACTTGGAGTGATGTCTAGAGCCTCAGTAGCTACTGAGACCTTTAAACAGAGACTAGGCAACACCAGACTTCTAATGGCACTGAGAGGACAGGAATGTTGTAACTGTACTGCCTCAGAGGCAGCTGCTAGCCACAAATGGTTACTGGAATTTGAAATGTGACTAGTGCAACTGAGAAATTAAACTGTTACTTTAGTTAATTTAAATTTAAACTTAAACAGGTACATGGGATGAATGTAGAGCCACATGATCTTTTCACAGGGGTATAATTTATGCCTGTGCCAAATTTCAGATCCTATGTGCCATTCCTGTTATTAGAAAAAAAAAACAAACCACAAAATAATGTGCAGGTGTGAACTAGTATTAAGACACACATTTGAAAATAATCATGGCAAGGAATACAGCATCTCTAACTCTCCTAATGTAGGAATCTAATCTAGGGTTTCTATCACCAAAAATCATAAAATTTTAATTTATGTTAAAGTCCATGGGTCCATTTAATTTTTTCTACTTTCCTGGAAATCTCTCGAATTCAGAGTCTTCGATTCTATTTTTTTTTTTTTTTTTTGGTACTGGGGATCGAACTCGGGACCTTGTGCTTGTGAGGCAGGCAGTGGAACCACTGAGCTAAATCCCCGGCCCCTCTTGGATTCTATTTTAAGAGACAGAACATCTAAAACAAATTGGAAAAATTGCTTTTTTAAAAAAAAACTGAGAAGTACAGTATAAAACTTTAATGAAAGGATTTTAGATACTGACATTAGAGGGCAGTGTTGCTTCAAACATTTAGCCTTCTACAAATACTTATGTTTCTATAACTGAGTTGTTTAGTGAGCACGGTTTTAATTGATTTGTTTCAAGGGGGCAGACTATTAAGCAAATAAAACTATTGCATTTAAATGAAAAAGAAAAAAGCATACAAAGCAATCTACTTAATGCTTAGTCTTCCATTTCTTCTTATGCTTTCTTCCTTGGAGAAGGTAAACCCTAGCCACTCACCACAGGGCCTCTCCGGTTTCTCCTTTCCAACCACTCATGCTTCCAGGCCGGCATACACATTGCCTTTAGTTTCTCCCTGATCATTCGCTCTTCTGGGCGATCGTCCATCTTGTGCAACCCTTTCAGAGTTTCTTTATTGTCCATCTCACGCCTAAAATGGAGGCAGAAATAAGAAAAACAAGAAATTAATATACAAGAAGTATTTTTTTTTCTTTTTACAAGAAATAATTTTTAAGAACAAGTACAACAGCATGGTTGCTTCATACTTCCAACAAAACCTCCAAATGATTTAAGCAAGGCACAAAAATATACAAAGTACAATGTGTTGCTGAATTTACAATGTGGATAGTGCTGAATGCTGCCTGATAAGTCAAAAAAGAAAGGTTCTATTTAGAAGTTGAAGGTTTACTCATACTATTAATGCAGATCTTTGTTCCAGATGGATGTTAAGCATTAAGTATTACATTAACAAATACATTCACGAAGACTGCAGTTTCCAATTCTACCACCCTAACGCACATATATAACAGACAAGTATTTATAAAGGTTTCTTAATATCCTTTATCCCAGGATTTCTAATAATTTATGTCAATATAGTTAGAATCTAGCAGGTATACTCATTTCACAAAATAAGTATCAAATAAGTATTTCATAAGCTAGGTGAAACTTAACTAGATCTTTTATGATCCTGAAATAATTATTCAATGCCTAAATGATTAAATTTATGTTTGCTTGGAACAAGTTTGTGACAAAGCATTTACAAAACCTACAGGTAAAACATCATTCTCAGGAAAATCTCTAATCTCAAAATATACCCCTGTATACACATGCACACACACACATATATCCCACACAAATTTTAAACCTGGTTCATAAGTAAACAGTTAAAGAAAGTGTACTCTGGGAGAACTAATTTTTTAAACACTTAGCTAACTTGAGAAGTCTATAAAGCTAGAGAATAGTGATTTTTCTACACTGATAGGAAAAAGAAATATTCGAGGAAATACCAGAGACGATAACCTCAAGCTTACTAAAAAGTCAAATTCAAACTTCCCTAGGAATTTTCCAGTTAATTACTACTCTGAAGTCTTACCTTCAGAGAACCAGCAAAAATATCAAATTAAAACTAAATAGGCACTAGAAAGGGAATGCTTAAGTGGTTTCAATGAAGCATGAATATTGTGGGGGAATGGGAACAAACATGATAAATAACTCTGTCAAAAATGGTCTAACAGAGGCCGGGGATTTAGCTCAGTGGTTCCACCGCCTGCCTTGCAAGTGCAAGGACTCAAGTTCAATCCCTGGTACCAAAAAAATAGTCTATCAGTGGTGGCAAACATATGGAATGTGTGCCGCAGTGGGCTGTTGGTATCACCAAAAGCTCTAAAAGGTGCGCTAACACTGGAGATATTTTGGGGAACACAAAGAGCATGTAACAATTGATTTGTGTCTTGCAAGTAGGTATTAAAAACCATATAGTAAAATATTTCTGCCACATAAAAATTTGTCACATTAAAAGAATGAGAGTTGGGGAAACTTTTGTTTTAAAATCCCATGGCAATTTCCCCCTAGGCTTGTATTAAAATCCAGAATGTGTTCCTTAGGAACTCCAGGATTACTCTGCTGAGGGCTTCTACTGTACAGGCTGTTTCCCACTCTCACTACTTTTTGCCTCATTAATTTCTACTTACTCTTTAGGTTTTCCTCAACCTCTTCAGAGACTTTCCCAGTCCAATTAGGGATTCCCAATTCTGTTCTTTTATAGTCCTATACTCTTCCTTCAAAGTGCTCATTGTGACTTGCAAACCATCCCTTCCTCCCTCACCAACTGTAAGCTCCATGAGGGGAGGGACTATGTGTCTTATCTATCTATACAGCCAACATCTAAACATGTCTGGTTCATAATAGGAATTAATACATATATTAAACGAATGATAAATCTATTAACATCTTTGGTAGTCCTAAGGATTTTCCTACCTTTAAATGTAGTAACTATTGTGGTTTATATCTAGGTATCACCCCAAAGCCTCATGCACTCAGAAGCAGGGCTTTCTGGACGGTGACTGGGGGCGCATTATATTGGACTTGCTGTTAGGACATGGGGGTCTAGCTGCAAGAGGTGGATTATGGGGTGCATGGCCTAGAAGGGTGTATCTCCCTTCCCAGCTTCTCCTTTTGCCCTCTGTTTCCTGATCACCACGAGGTAAGCAGCTTTTTCTCTGCCATGTTCCTCTGCTATGCCATCCTGCCTTGGAGCCAGCCAACTATGGTCTGAAACGTGAGCTGAAATAAATCTCTCATTCTTTAAGTTGGTAGGTATTTTGTCCTAGGGACAAGGAAAGTGACTAAAATAATGACTCTGTACTTATGTTTTTTATTTAATTAGGACTAAATCTGCAATTTAGATGTTATTCAATAGAGGATTTTTTTCATCATTCCTAAGTTAATTTGCAAAATATTCTTTCTAGTTTCTTCATATCATTAATTCTAAATTGTGTATTTTTCATATTTTAGCATCTGAAATTTGATTGCCTCAATTAAATGTTGTTATAATTGGTATGTTTTTTCTGCTTTTTTCATGGTATATAAAATAATGGTATAATTTACAACCACTAGGATCTCAGAATTAACAAAATATACAGTAAATCCTATTTTATGTGCCAGGAAGAAATCATACCTACTCAGTTTCTTTTGTTTCTGAAATGGAAACCAAACTGTGAGAAGAAAAACAAGTTTTTCTTGCATACTTGTCTTTTTTTCTTATAATCCTAACAATCTTCATAGATCAGACAGGCATGCTTTTTATTTTTATCAGACATCTGTATGTATATATGTCTATACATGTATAGCAAGACCTTGTCTTTTAATTAATACCACAACTATGGGAGAAATTATTTTTTCTTTTAACCAAGGCCAATCTAAAATGGTAGCTGCAAAGTGACTGGAAGAGCCATCTCTCATCCATAGTGGCTAAACTTATTATTTTTGTTATAGCTATTAACTACAAACGTACCTCCTATTTTAACTCAATCAGTTTGTATTCCTGACTTAAGCAAAAATGTGTTTTGGAAATTAAAAGTTTTAGCCTGATAAAAATGAGAAATTTAAACATCATTACAGGTCAAGCCTTATCTTCCTTTTCTGTTTACTTAGAAAATATGGGGCTTCTTGCCATTTTTTTGGTGGGGAACCCTAAGCATACCTAAGAATGAAATTATGATTCATTTCCTCAGAATGGATTTATGATCTAGAAGTCAAGGACCCTTTCCATCTCAAGGTCAGGTTTCTAATCAAGGTTAGGTTTCTAATAGACTCTTCAGAGAATTCACCGGATTTTCTTCTAGGTCTGGGCCTAATCATCTTACTGACTTCATGAATACCGTAAGCTACACTTTCTTCCTTGAGTACCTTAAATGCCAACCACTGCCCCATTATTCTTACAGCACCAGGATATTTCCTTCGATAGTACATCAAGTTATTTCACACCTGTCTTTGAACATGATTTTTCTTTCTTTGGCCAGGATCCCTTTGCCATCTCACACGCTTTCAGCAAACAATCTCCTACTACTATTTTATGCTGGTAGCTACTCCCTCCCAGAATGCTAAATATTAATTGTAATACAGAATAAAATCAAGTTTTTGTTTAAGTGTATGCCGCCCTCACCACATCAGATCTTCCAGGACAGGTTATATTTTTCTATCATCAATGCCAAATGTCGTCAGGCCACAAACGGAATCTAACACCCTGCTTCCTTCTGGGATGCCAGAGCCTATCAAGCATAGCCACCCTCTCCAAAGGGTGATGTCTGACGCAGGGCTTTACACATAGGCACTCACCCTGCAGTCCACAACTGGCTCATACAAGAATGTACCTTGGTCCAAAGTCCCTTTATCCTAGATAATATTGTACAATTTAGTCAAATCCTCTATCTTTTTGGAAGTCTGAAAGCAAGATACATGAATAGCAGGAAGAATGGCACCAAAACAGAAACAGAGTAAGGTAGCAAGTAAAATAAATGAGACAAAAACAAAGAGACAAGAAAACTTAGAAGGAGGATCTAATTAGCAATAGAGAAGCAATAAAAATAAACGTAAGAGTTATACCTGGGTTCCTTGGTGTGCTATTAGACAATTAGAGCTACTTTTACACCACCTTGAGTGATGATGCTCCAGGGGTCACATGTATGCGCAACAGTGGAGAAAACATCTTTATGGACTCTACTTTGGAAGGAAATGTAAGCTAAGACACCTCTGTTCCCTGTAACCTCAAAGAATCTATAATACTAGTTTTGCACAATGCCTGGGAGATTAAAGATAGTAACACAAAAAAACAGAATGCTGAAAAGTTCAGTAAAATTTTTAAAAAGTTATTTCTTAAATGGTTTATCCTAAACACAACTAGAGATAGGAGGAAATAAGTGCCAAATTGTATCTAACAGAAAGGGTCAAATGTTACATGCCAGACAAGGTGTTAGGTGTAAACACCTAAGGAAGCTTGTGAGTTTGGTAGTTTCCACCTAGAGTTTGCAGGGAACAGAGGTGTCTTAGCTTATTTCCTTCCAACAGCCCTGTAAGGTCATTACCATTTGAGGCTTAGAAAGACTGGGTCACATGTCCAGGGTCACTCAGTTGGTAGGTGGGTAGCAGGACTGGGATTTGAATGCCTGCTAGACTGACTCTATACCATGTACTCTTTGTGGCTGTGGGAGGTCACTTACTGTCCAATCTGACCTTATTTTTTTGTTTGTTTGTTTTTTGGTACCAGGGATTGAAACTGGGACCTTGTGCTTGCAAGGCAGGCGCGGCGCCAGAGCTAAATCCCCAGCCCTCTGACCTTATTTTTAAAACAAGCTAGTACTCATGTATCTGTGTTGGTATCTACTGATAATAATACAAAAAATATTTCACGATGGTGATGATTTTACTACCAGCACTAAAGCAGCACATTAATTTCGTTCATTTAGAGCATTTCTGTGTAAAAGGAGCAACTAAGACTATAATGATCAAATAAAACCTTTCTGAAAACTAACAGGATTTATTTAACCTTAGTATAAAGATTTCCACAACAGCCTAGATTCTGGGTAACTCTACAAAGAAAAATCTTGATTCTTGGAGTATCCAGGAAATCTCAAGGAACCTTCAAAAATACAT